TTAAAAGAATAAAGGAAAAATTAATCCCCTTATGGTTTTTCTGAGTTTTGAATTAGGTCTTTATGTTTTTTTACTTTTTATTAAATCCTTTAAGTTTACTTCATTAGATTCATTAGTTTTTTATATTTAAAATCATTAAATAAGTGCTAACAGTATTAAAAATTTAAGATTCATAAAACTTTTGATTCCTATATTTTACTTAGTTTTTATTTTTAGTCCTTAATTTTTTAGATGTTTTAAGTTCTTACACTTTTATTTTTTATTATTTTAAATTTTTCTAAGGTCTCTATATTTTGCTCATAGAAAAATTAAAAATAATAAAAAATAAAAATATAGAAATTTAAAATATTAAAAAAAGTATAGAAATAAAAAACAAAACATAAGTAAAATACAAAAATCAAAAAATAAATTTACCTAAAAATCAATTAAACGGCAATGAAGTGGCTGTCAAATTAATAATTCTTTACACGTCAAAATCTGACAAAGAGTCAACATGAAAAATTAAACGCAAATTTAAAATAGAAAAAATATTTCTGCAACTCCTTACAATTTCACTTAATTTTAAATTAAATTTTTACAATTATTTTATTTCAATTGAGCCTTTTAATTTGATCTCTTATATATTTTAACCCTTAAAAGTTAGAATTAATAATGAATTATTAAATTTGAAAAAAAATACTCTTGGAGTTTAAAAAAATTAATTTAATGCTTTTAGTCAAAAATAAAAAAAATAATTTAATACACTGTTCAGAGTTTATTAAACTTTTTATGAAAATTATCTATGTAAAAAATATTTATAAAACAACCTAATTAAATAAATTTTAAGTAATAAAAATTATGTAATTAATTCTAAAGTCATATATTCATTTTATAAAAATATAGAAGTTTTTTATTTTGTTTTTTAAGAAAAAATTTAAAGACTTTAACTTTTAGGGATTAAAAAATTTAATTGATCAAATTATGAGAGCTCAATTAAAATAAAATAAATTGTAAAAATTTAATTTAAAATTGAATAAAATTATAAGAACATGCAGATATATTTTTCTTTTAAAATAAGCTAACTTGATGTATTCATATAAACTAAAAATGTGGAGAGTCACCATCTTATCTATTTCATCGTCTTTTCTCCCTCTGAAAGTTAGTCAAAGATATATGGTTTGCCTGTGCTATGTTGCTAAATCCTGTTTTTTTTTTCCCTTGATTTTTGAATGAAGATGGAACTAAGGTTAATGTTTTAGAAGAGATGGAGAAAGGATCACGCAAGATATTCTGCTTCTTCCACGTCTTCTCATGTTTTTTCCAATGAGAAAATGGCTAAACGAAACGAAGCAAGAGTCTTAAAATTCGAGTAAAAAAATTTTAAATTGCCAGTTGGAATTTTTCTATAGATATAAAAGTGGTGACCTTGAGTAAGAGTCTGTACTTGGAAGTAAATGATGGCAATGTCAGTGGCATTGTCGAGCTTCAACGCTGGCAAGCAAATTCTTGCTCCGTCCTTTGTCAAGTGCAAATCGCATCACATATTAATAGGGCTGCACAAAAGAAGATAGATCCATCCAGTAATACTTCAACCTAATTTGAAGTCTTCTTCGTTATCTCACTTCATCCTTTTTTATAAGAAGCAGCAATTTATTTTGTCATAATAAAATTAACCTAATTTATTTTATAGTCATAAAAAACTTATCATAACAACACTAACAAATATAAGTTTATAATAATTTTCAACAACAACAACAACAACAAATATTTCACCGTATTTTAATTATGGCGCAAATGATTTAAATTAATTAATTTTTTAAAGCATATTTAAGATTCATTGCATCAAATTAACAATAAATTTTATTAATAAAGAGAAAAATTTGCTAGAATTTTATTTAATATTCATGACTTCATAAAAATAAAACATTAAAAATTATTAATTATTATTATAAATTAATGTATCATTGTAATAATTAATAAATTAATTATAATTATATAAAATAAATTTATAAGATCAAATTGAATCAAGTGATTTATAATTTAGTCTCATATCTAATCAAGGAAGAGTTTAATCATTTTTATCCTAAAAGATTAGTTTTTATCCGCATCAAGTTGTCTGAGTTGGAGCGGGTTGGACGGATCAAAGAACTTTTACAGCTCTACCACTGAACCACCTACGATGTGCTCGTGCTTAGCGCCAATTTGTAGGCAGTGTCGCTAGAATATGGAAATATCCCCAAAGGCTCTCCACGCACCACCACTAGCTACCGTTTCGTTTCACCGGCGGAAAGGAATCTGAATCTGAGCGAATCTTCTATGGATGCTGCGAATCATCATCACTTCTCGTGTCTCCCTGTGCCAAACCATCTTCCTTTCTCCTCCTCTCTCTTATGCGTACCTGAACCCTAGCGAACAAGAACAAAGCCAGATTGCAAAATTGGTAATTTTCTCATCAGAAAGTTGCTTCATACGTGGCATATATTTTCCATCTAGATCCCACTTGTAAGAATGTCCACTTAACTGCCGCTTCATTGTTATTCAACAGATTTTTTTAACATTATTAGCACTTATTTAACCGTTTTAAACATAAAAGACTGACAGATTTACTAGAATAAATTTAAAGGACTCAATAAAAAGAAAAAAATCACAAGGACCTAATTCAAAACTTGAAAAAACTATAATAATTAGAGGATTAATTTTCTCAAGAATAAAAATCAATTATAAAAAAGCAAACAGATAAGTGGACGTTAGAATGAAGTTCAACTTGTAATATATCCTCGATTAATTTGATCTAATTCATTTCCACTATTTAAATATGCTAAAAATGAAAACTTCTCCCAAACCCAACACTAACAGATGTTATTAATATTAATGCCCCTCTTTTTGGTTTTCTTTCTCTCAAAAAACCCTGTTCGTGAACGTGATCCATATGAAGCGGGTCGCCATCACACTCCCAACAGCTTTAGCAAGATGACATCTCATCCGCTTGAGCAAATGCAATTCTAGTCTTCTAAGCCAGTCACCTCAAAGGGGAAACGAATATAATAAGCGAATCTTTGTTTCAAAGACAATTCAAGAAAACCTATGTTTAGACTTCAATGGATGTTTGGTGAAGATAATTATCATGTTAACAGAAACTTCCATTAAGGAATGAAATTGACACTTATAATTCGGCTATTCCTTTCGTCCTCAGTGTTTATCCTTTTCATACATCCTGATAATACCAGCAACATCAACCAATTTGATGGTTCAGACTTCAGATCAAACCTGTATTCAATTCAAACACACCCAGTTCTATAAAGCGATACAGTTGTCAACCAATGGGTGATGATGTCATCAGAGATTTCTTAGATTCTAATATAAGTTAAAGAGGAAATCTATTGAAAATAAGGACATAAAGTGCCACATTTAACTTGAGTTTTTCTAATTCTTGATGCCAAAGCCTGCATGATATATGCATCACGTCTAGCTTTTCACCATCTTCAGATCTCATAAGCACCAAATAAGGAGAAAAATTCAAGCATGAAATTTCATCGTTGTTATTTTTCATTGTAATGAACATCTCCCAAGATCCCCAAGACCGGCCAAAACAGACAAACATCACAAAAAGAACTTCACCAGCCAAATATTTCGTTCTGGAAATTAACAAATGTGGCGACAGCTAGAAAAGCATTGTCAACACTCAACAGAGACAAATGGGCTAATATTATTCACATCATCCAGCAACATTGGCACTGTCTTGACTTCGTAATTAGTTCTCTCCCACCTCCCGACCTCTCTTTCTTCTTTTCCACAGAAGGCAAAAGTTTTTGTGTTTTTTTCTTTTTCTTTTGGGGGGCGGGGAGGTGTGGAGAAAAGCTGACAGAAAGAAACTAACCCAAGTCCCACCGATAGATGCACTGTCACTGCAACTCCTATTAGACAGACAATTGTATTAGGGAATTAATTGAGATAAGGTTCTGTAACCTAATTCATGACACGTCACTACAGGCAAACAAATGTTACAGACATAATGGTGTGCAATTGCAATTGCTTCTTCCTTCTACTTTAGCTAAAGTAGTAAACCCACTTAATTTTCTAGTTAGAAGGAGCAAGTGTGCAGATGTCCATAGCTGAAACTCCAAGAGTAGTGTCAGAAGCATTCTTCAATTCACTAATGCCAGTGCTACGTAGTGCTTGACTCAGCACATATTTCAGAAACACAACCGAAGACGACACATTAGAATAGGTCAAATAAAATCCGGTGTTGCATGTCCCAATGCTAAGGCGAATATTTAACTCTCCCACAATGCACTCTTCACGATCATCGCACAGGAACTTATTTGTCATCAAACGATGCCATCCAGTCATATATGCTTAACTGTCTTCCCAAAAGAGAGAAACAAGCCTGACATAGCTGCCATAACTGATTAATGACAACATAGTTGACTGCAACATTGCAACAAGGTATTTTACTTTCCTTTACTAGCCACTACGACATAAGAATGTCAGGCAATATTGGCATTTATTATGTCATATCTTCACGCTTGTTACCAAGATATTGTCCCAAAAAAAAAAAGGCTTATCACTAAGGTATATGCCAATCGGCTTGAGTAGGTCTATGAACATAGCTACATGATCTTCCAGTAGTCGACTATAAATGAAAGCTTATGTTTCATTAAACACTATTGAATGATAAATGAATCCGCTTGTTCCAGAGGATTGTCCATATTTAAAGTCAATCTTCTTCCATCACTCTGATCATATAAAGCAAGCAAAATTTCCCCAAACTCGCATGGTTGCTTGGATTTCTAATTCAAAGTTCATGAAGACATAGATTCCAAATCTAGATAGGTTTTACAAGAAACAAGGATGGAAAGAAAGAATGAACACTCGGATCAAAAATGTTTTCCTAGCATGACCAACACAGTCCTCAGATGTGAAAGAGGGACCTTTTGTTTTTTACTAGTAAGTTTTTAACATATAGACTTCCGAGTTATTGTGATAGTGCTATCCAGAGTTACATTAAGAACAAAAAACAGTAGGAACATGGCTCTAATTCTCATTGTCCAAGCAATCTCATGTTTCAATGTGATTCTCAAATGTTTCTGTAGATATTATTTTGAAGACGATATAAAAACACCATTACACTTATCAAAGTTACAAACATATGTCAGAGTTGCAGAACTAGAAGACCATCAAGATCTCACTATTCAAAGTACCAAACCTGCTCAGCTCTTGGTCTAGAAACCTAAATTCTGAATCCTCACATAGTGATAGGAAAACTAGGTTGTTCAAAAATTTACGAAAGAACACCTCATCTCCACACCACCCATTATCAGATGGGACTGATATAGTTAGCGAATCTTCCTGTTACAAAGAAAAACAAAGTTGTCATGATTCTTGAACTTGAATTCGTCTGAGAGCGAAAGTAATAGCCCCATAGATAAACATTGGTTTGCGGTTCTACATGACATGTTTTAGTTAATTCTTATGACAAAAACAAGTTCATGGACTAATTCATTGGGTCTCAAATCTTTGAGTTATCTTAGCAAATAGCTTCCTAGACACTCGCTAGTCATCATCTTATTCCCATAACTCTACATACGGATAATGCAACTTTCATCGAGACAGGAAAATATGAAAGAATCCCATAAAAGAGAAGTCTCCCTTTACATTCCAGATTGGAATGAGGATTTCTGAATTGAATCCTTAGTCTCAACCCCCTATACTCTTAATGTTCTCCGTAAGTGAAGTAAGCACATTGTAAGGCCTGTACAGCCTTAATTTTTTTTTTATTGAAATTCCTTTTCACTCAAAAAAAAAAAAATTGTTAGGCTAACTCCTACATAGAATTCTTCGAGGATATGGACAAAATTACATTAAAAATGAGCATACAGCATCATCAAATTGTTGATCTCAGCGATCGAGTCCAGTATATAGCCAAATATCACTTTACCATTTGACTGTTTGCACGGACAAAATGCTTTTGATCTATATGGCGTCATAGCAAAGTGCGAATCATAATTAACAACCGGAGGGGAAAAAACAGAGAGAAAGCAACCTTCGTTAGGGGTACTGGCATTGTAGGGAAGCTTGGAAACAAGATAAGCAGAAGCAATTGCGCTGTGTACGGGTTTTAGAGAGCTCAATTCTCTTCGCAGCAACCTAAGCAAGAATTCAAAATGGATAACGTCATAAGTCATAACTATGATCAACATTACATCAAATAAAACGGCCATTTGCACTTCGAATCTGAAAATAAAACCGCGATTCGCGAGCATCAGAATAACTGGAGTACCTTAAAGGAGAAGTGTGGGTAATGGGAGTGCGCAGAAGGGTGAAATTTGAGTTGCGGAGCGAGCCAACAAAAGAGAGTCTCCTTGGAGACGAATTCGTCGAGGTTCTGCATAAGAAACGCACACTTATTCGTCTTCCCGCAATTGAAGCCATTGAAGCTGCCATTTTCGCTCGCGCTCTCTTTGAATCGTACCCTAAAACCTCCGCTAAACCTACGTCCCCAAATTAGATTCACCGGCATTGCATGCCTGAAAGAGCATATACTGGACTGGGCCAATCCGGTACAACTTAGCCTCTTACGCAAACAAATGCTTCTATTCATTAAACGGCCCACTGTATTTTGATGAAGAACTAACCGATCTTTCGATTAATTAAATGTTGACATTGATTAACTGCAGAAACTCAAATAATTTATTTCTTGTAGAAATTTCAGTATTGCTCTATTTGAAAATTAATTAGAGGTACAATTAAAAAAAAAAAAAAACAGCAGTGCTGTGAACTCCAAGGCTTCAAACTCTACACTTGGACGAAAGCAGGCAGGTAAATAAAATTAGACCTATTATGAATATTATGTAATTATATGAGAAGATGTCCATAACTTCTAATACTTAAAATTCTTCATCTTCCACAGCCTCCCAATGAATGAATGATTTGAAAGGAGTTTCTCAAGATTAATACCTTATAATCTCCAAAGGTTATATACTATGAAGGTTAAGTTTTAATAGTTAAAAGCTTATAAATAAAGGTTATGTATAAAATATTGGGCACTCAAGTAAATAAAATACACTCCTTTATTTTCTCTCTCAATTCTTCTTACCTTGTTATTCTCTTTTCCTTTCTCTCTCTTCTTATTTTCATGACAAAACCCTTGAAAAAAACTTGGAAGAAAGGGATCTTGCAATCCTCGTGCTTCCCTAATGTTTGAGTTTAATATGAAAAATTAAAATATTATTTTATGTACACTGCACTGAAATAGATAAATTGCACTAATTAATGCAAATTTTTTACATAAAAATATAGATATTATGCTCTCAAATTCAAATTTACAGGTGAGCTGAAACTCACTATATCGAGTTATTAGTGTTTCCTACGCAAACCTATGAAACTGATCACATTCTGACAGTTCAACCATCATGAATCTCGGAAACTTTACAGTTCAAGCTAATATTGGAATCAAAATACATGGTTAAAACTCTTCATTGTCCTCTGTTGATCTCGTGATAGGTATGGACCATCTTCCCAAATGGGCAGTATAATTTATGCACCGGATAGTGCCTCTTCCTTTGGGTCCATCAGGGAAGTCAAGGACACTAACGCTCCCTGCATCAAGATGAAATGATCCCAACCATTCTTTTGTCACATTTAAGCAGTGCCCCATGAGTGCTATGTGGATGGCGGGATGGCCAACTACAACCACAACTTCTGAAGATGATGGTTCATCCGATAGTTCCTCTAACAGAGATTGCCATGCCTTTCCAGACTGATTCCATAACGCTGTTCTCACCCCATCGTCAATCTTATTTAACCAGCCCGGGTGAATAGCCGCAAAATTTGATATATCCTGCAATAATTAGATAGGCAGAATCAAAACACAGTGACATAGGAATGAGTGAAGACAAGATGGGTTGTAAACCAGGAGAAGAAGCAATTCTTGGTCGTTAACAGATCTTCCTAGAACCTCGATAGCAAGTTTATATGCTTCGCAGCGATCCATATCTTAAGAAGTACATAATTTCCTTTGACATTTCATTACCATATAGCTTCTCCCAACACACAAAATACTCCATGAACCAGTGGTCGTTGCTCAAGAGGTCAACAAATGATTTTTTAAATCCTTATGTATGATGCATGCACACATAAATGATAAGTTCTTGCCTTGGATTGCTGATAGATTGTTTCAACATCCAAGTTCTCCATCTGCTTCATCTCAACATAGCGTGGCACACAGTCAGCACCCAGGCAATCAGCAGCTTCTTGCACCTGAAAACATGTTTAGAATGTCAATAAAAGAACTAATGTAAAACTAGTACAAGAGAAAGAAAGGAATATGTAGAAGTTGGGAAATAAGTTGAAGGGAATGAGAGGAAGAATCAAAGGGAAAGAGAGAACTGCAGGGGAAGAAGGAACAGGAAAGACCACAAGTAATGATGCTTTATTCCACTGCTAGACTGAATGCGAAGTTGACAATTTGAGGTTAATTAAGGGAACTAAAAACAGAAGCTCAGAACAATAAAGCAAATCATGGAATAAAGACTATTCCTGCTTCAAGCCTTAATCTCTGAACGACAAATAATTTCCTGTATCACCATTAACCATATAACTCTAGATATGCTCTTCCTATTCTTCCTCACGAACAAAAATGAAAAGGAAAATTGTACCGCTTTTTCAAGAACAGAAATACCATTACGCTTGTTTTTTTCCTCCAAAATCAGAGCCCTCTCAATAGTCAAGCCAAATAATATTGGCAACATGGTTAAGAAAATAAGAATAGGGATTGCAAATACTGTAATTAACTGGAAGTCACCAATAAAGAGCTTACTTGGGAGATGGCATTTGCTGTCCCGATACAGGCTTTGTTAGGACTCCTAATTATGGAATTCACTTTCAAATCAAGAAGTAGCTCTGCAGATTTCTGGGACTGTTTCATATGCCAACGGTCAGATCAGATAATTTTTACCAAATTAATATTTTTAGAAATTGGATCCAGTACCTGTATAACACCAAGCATGTTCAATTGTTGATCACCAGCCAAAAGAAAACCATCCTGTTCAACACAAGGATGCTAAATTAGAAACCTGACAAGTAGAAATCTAATCCAGATAAATTTCAAAGGAACTTTCTGCCTAATGCCTTTTAGCTAAATATTAATGTCAATGAAGTCATGTGGAGAAAAAATAATTAGAAGCAGTGAATGAAAACAGATTTCATAGAAGCATCATTTGGGCATGCAACTACGACATCTTAAATTTACTGTTTTGATCCTTTGAACTCTTTCAAACATATTGCCTTGCCAGAAAACAATCATCAACCTTTACACCAAATGCTAGAATAAGTCACAAGAGGACAGCCCTTTTAATATACTGCTTCATACCTCTGCATTGCCTTGTGTATAACCATGACAAACAAGTATTATCTGCTTATTTGTCTTTCTACCTCCAGATTTCCCACCAGTAACAGGCGAACCAGGGGTCTGCGCCAATAATCAATTATAATTAGATGAGACCCGAACTTGGACACCTTATGCATTCTGGAACTTACAAAATACACAAATGTGTACAATTTTACAAAAATCGGTCAATGATTGCATTGGAAAGTGCAGAAAATTCACATCAGCTGATAATTTTAACACTTGTCACAGAGGGGAAAACAAAGCCAATTCCATGTGCATTCTGAGATGACCTTAGAGATAAAAGTTATGTACATTATTTTTCAGTAAAAGAAGTACATACCTGATTTAATCGATTGAGGCAAATATGTGGAGAGCCACCCTCGGACCTTGGGATGAAATCAAGGACACTCACACCACAATTGCTCTGAAGTAAATTTCTGAAGTACTCAGTCCCTAAACCTGATTGATACCAATGGTAGATTGGGTAAGTAATTCCATACCGGCAACATTCTTCATCTTTTTAGCATCGAGTTCCCTTGGGGGAGAAAAATGTACCAATTGCCGTTGCAACAAGAGCCTGATTGACAGCGTTGTGAGCAACCACAAGAATGGACCTGCTATCATGAGCTAAGATTTTAGCCCAGCAGCCCCTGGCACGATCCCATAGCTCTCTCACCGGATAATGACCATCCACGTTGAAATTTGCCGCATCAACTTGCCATTGGCGATAAACTGGACCAAATCTTTCTTTCCCCTCATGCTTTAAGAGGCCCTAAATAATATACAGCAACGAGACCGGTGACACCGAGCCATAAGCCAAAGCTAGAAATGGACATAAAACAAGGGAAGAATAAAAGGCTGATCGTACTTGAAATGAATATAAATCGATTTCCCTCAAATCATATTCTGTAATTATCTGCGGTTCGCGAGCTTCCCAGATTATTTCTGCCGTTTTCTTTGATCGCCCCAGAGGACTTGAAGAAACACCCCTCATGTTAGCCATTTGACAGATAAACTAAAAAGCAAACTATAAAGTTGTGAGACTAGACTAAATGAAAAAAAAAAAAAATTAGGACCCCAAAATAGCATCACGAAGACAGGAACAAAAGAAGTGACCAAGCTAAGGAAGCATGGAAATGGAACCTGGCGAAACAAACATCGAACTTATCATCGACAAGCATTTGACGCGAAGTCTCGGCCTGAGCCTCACCCTTCTTAGTAAGCACCGAGAAATTGGAGCTGCCTTGGATCCTACCTTCGGCATTCCAGGTGCTCTGGCCATGCCTGACCAGCACAACTCTCTTGGCGACCTTGACAGGAGGGAATGGAGCGGAAGCATAGAGCTCCGAACTCAACTGCCTGTCCTCGGAGGGGCTAGAGGACTTCTGAATTTCCTGCACGCTCGAAGAGCATCGAGGAATGATAGAAACGTGAGGGACCAGTCTGGCGCGAGTAGGGAAGAAGCTAGATTTTCTATGCAGAGCAAAATGTCTGCGAAGATCTGAAACGGAGGAAGGTGATGCTAGCATCATCGGCTTTTTGGGGGTTGCGCGCGAAGTGGGGATTCCGCCTCTGCATTATTTTTTTCTAGGATATATGGTTTCCGTTATTTCTAATTTCTATGGCTGCGGGAGGGAGTTGGTAAGGGGAAGACACGTGTGCAAAATGCAACCAACCTTTCATGGCCCGTTTGTCGTTTCGGATTCTATTTTGCCCCATGTGTAATTTAAGTAGATAATACTTATTTAAAAAAAGTAAAAATTAAGAAAACAAAATAGAAGAATTAATGAGATTAGTTTTAACAAAAGGAAATTATCCCTTGCAATATGATAAATTAAAGTTTAAATTCTCACTTAAAAAAACACTTATAAATACTTGATTATATTTCAAATCAAATTATTTTTAATAAAAAATACCTATAAATAATAAATAAAATAAAATATAAAGAAATTATGACAGAATTTCAAATAACCCGTGAGACTAATATTTGATTATTTTCAAGCCAAGGACTTGCTGTAAAAGTATTGGTCTATTTGGCAGGAAAAAAAAATGTATCTGTCTAATAAATTTTATTGACTAATAGTTATAATAAAATAAATGTTTAGTTCGCCAAAAAAACATAATAAAATGAATGTTTTTTTAAGTTAGATTATTTTTTTGTGGAAAAATATATACCTATAGATTTTATAATATTAATTGTTTATTCATAACATTTGAATATTATGTTTTATTTAAAAAAAACATAGAATCTCTTTGCTGTTTTCATATTTCTAAGATTAGAAAATTAGTTGTCTAATTCCTATAATTTTGACTTAATTATAAATTAATATTTAAACTTTAACTAATTGTAATTTAGTATTTATATTTTTAATTTAGTTATAACTTATTTTTTGAACTTTAACTCAGTATAACTCAATTTACAAAATTTTATAATTTAAAATATTAATTTTTATATTTTAAAAAATAAAAATATTTTTTAAATTTCAAAATAATTTTAACATTTATAATTTTATTTTTTAAAATATATAGATTAATATTTTAGTGATTAAAACTATAAAAACTGCTTTGTATCAGTCAACATTCAGAGATTTAATTACAGTTAAATTAAAATTATAAAAATTAAATTATAATAAATTAAAATTTAAAGACAGAATTATAATTAAATTAAAATTATATTATAAGTGCCAAATAATTAATATCTCCCCGCTTAGAGTCAAACAGCAAGAGATAGAGCCACCAGGTGACCAGGGTGAAAGTGTAGATAAGCTGACAGACTTTTGTGCCCTTGAAAAAAAAAAAAAAATTGGAGCTGAGAGGCTCGACCCTAATTTGTTGGGCTCCTTTGACCCACAGCCTTTAGGTCAATTCACCATTAATATTCATTGGATCAGCAAAAGGACTCACTCCTGGATCCCATTTCAGGCCCGAAAACCAATATCACCAGCCGTCTCTTTCTTCCCTTGTTTTCTTTCACAGGCTCAACATGATCTCTATACACGTGAACGCATTTACAGGGATAGCATGTCTCAGTTATTGATCTAGTTTTTAAATTTTAACTTAATATAATTTAATTCTTATGTTTTACTGCGTTAAAGAATTGTAAGAATTGAATTATTCATTTATTATGTATCAATAAATTATGGGAATGGAATTGTTTCAAATTAAAAAAACTATAGGAATTGATTTTAAAAAAAAATGATAGGAAGGGATTGACCTGTTCTTATTCAAATTTTAAGAGCTGAGTAAAAATTGAGAAAAATTTCACATTACTAGAAGTTATATTTTTCAAAATTTATATTAATTTGTATTATATACTGGTAATACATAATATTATTCACTCCTTCCAGTCTTGCTCATAAGACGGAGTTTTAAAGTCTTGTTTAATTTTAAGTAAAGGAAAGTAATGTATGAATTAAATTTTCACCAATATTACTTATTCTTAATCACATCAACTTACAATTTCTAAACACATATTACCGTGGTCATTAATTTCAGTGGTAGCTAAGTTTGGAAAGCGGGGCATTTTTTATAAATTTAACGATACTAACCATCACACTTATCAAATTCTAAAGTTGGTTAACTTTTTGTATCCTGTAATTATGACTAGACTGTGACATACTTTTCAAGATACATGATGAAACAAACGTGTCATATCCCTCACCAACGAGCATTGATTTTAGTATAGCATGTTATAACCACTTAAATATCATATTTCAAGTATCAATATTTATGAAAGTAAAATACATCTTCAAAAGAACATTCCACACACTTAATAATAATTGAATTGATAAATAACAATGAATATCATACTCTACGCTAAAGCAGGTATGTCAATGTGTCATCAACGTTTATTTGAAGCGACAAAAAGTTATTAATTAAATGCCACCAAACAATACAACCCAGTGACACTGTATATCAATTGATACTCTTGGAAGAAAAAATTGCTATTTCACATGGGACTCCAGCTCAGTTGAGATTTTTTTTTTTTGGGGAGCCAGGGTAATTTAGAAGGGGTTGGCGTTTAAATAAAAAAATTAAACTTAATTTTCAAAGACTCCTTGGAATATATAAAATAATTAAAAGTAACGTGAGGAGTATTTTATATGAAATTCGAAATAAATTTTATTATTTATTGTTTGTAAATAACATAATTTTAGTATATTTTAGTGAACATATGAGATATACTCGATATGGAATATAAAAGTTTTGGGCGATGAGATAAGCATTGAGAATTGATGGGGAAAATGAAAGAGAGAGATGGGGGGATCGCCATCAGGGAGAAACGGCTAGTTGGCATTGAGCTGATGTATGTCCCCAAGCCTCCAAAACTAGCCGTTACTTTCTCTATTCATCCCTTTTCCAGCTTGCATTGGACTTTCATTAATCCGTCTGTCACCGGGCCCCACCCCCATGCCTTCCCTTCTCCTTCAGGGATATCCTAAATAGAATATTCCCCCCATTTCTTATTTTATTATCCCCAAATATATTTGTTTGTTTTTAATATTGAAATTTCAGTGGATCTTTTATCACAAAATTTTTAACTCATGTTCAATACACATAAAAAAATATTTCATCCCCAAAACATGCAATTTTTTCCCTGTACATTTAATTATTCTCTCGCCCCATTTTATAGAATTTTTTTTAAGTGATTTGACATTCCGTGATATAAAATGTTTTGATCTACACAGTAATTCAATAATTAAGCTTGTTTCAAAATTATCTTTTAATTTTGAGCTCATTAAACATTTTCCCATTTTACTTACTAAATGGAAATTATTTTTGAAAATTCGCATTGCCTTTTTAAAAAATTGCATTTGATTGGTTTCATTTGTATGCATGATTTAAAATAGTGCACACCATACAGAGACATATTGTAATCCCTTGCTTCAAGCTTTCAAGGAGGAGTGAGGGGATGCCATTTAAGCTTGGACTTATTCGCATGATAATTTTCTAGTCACATCTGCAAAAGGATGTAAAATCTTATGTCCAGAATCAAGCAATGGAAAATAATACAATTAGGACCCATTATTGATTTGATATAGGCTATTTGTCTGCTATAGCTTTGATGCTGTTTCCTTTTCATAAAATAACATCGCGTGCTCAAAGTCTTCACTCAAAAAGGTCATTATAGAATCTTGGAAGCGCTTGTGTGAAATTAAATTACGCTTTCTTCCATCACAAGAATGGTTGGTATAAACGGTCCTATCCAAACGAATGTGTAGCGTGGATATCATCCATTTTCTTTGTTGTTTTTTTTCTTGTCGTATTTCTAAAAGGCACTTAACATTTTAAAATAATAATAATCCGATCCATTTAGACTTGGAATTGCAGGCTTTGATAATGGAAGCCAGTAGAATCGGACAAGAGGCAGATCACGATCAGTATCATTGTTATTTAAAAGTAAATTAAAACGTTGAAGCATGCAAGCATGCAGCATCAAGGCCAGCCAATTCACTAAAATGCCAATAATTTTGCTCCCACGTTATCCCCAGCGTTCGAACCCCACCTAATATTAACAATTAAAACAACAAATGTAAAAGGAAAAAAAAATTTTCTATTGCTTACATGTATTTTCCTGTTGTACACAATTTTGTTCGAGACATCAACTACTAATTCAAATCTTCATTACTATGCAAGTCATTTCAAGTGCTTTTGCTGAGCAATATATTGCATATCATAAGTCGTGAAATCTTTCCCCTTTTTTTAACGTTCTTAACACAAAAGTTGAAAAGCCTGGTCCTTCTTGTATGGGATCCATGTTGAAAAAAAGGGAAAGTCCAAAATTGCTTGCTTCATTCTCGGCTACTTGGCAATTAAGGTTGCGATCAAGCTTGGGAAAGAAAAAGAAGGAATTAAAGAGTTTGTATGGCCAGTGAAGACGGGTAATTAAGGCATGTTTTGGTCACAGCTGGTGAGAAATCAAATAGTTTTTTAAGAAAATTTCAAAAGTCAGAAGCTTTTAGGTAACTTTTTTTTATCACTGAAAATCCATTTTCCATGAATCTAACGTGCGTTACTTTTAAAAAATTACCTTTAAACTGTGAACAACTTTCAGTTACTTTTTAATTGTAAAAACTGGTTTAAGTTGCTTGCCAAATAACTTTTAATTTATTAAAGTAATTTTTTGATAAATATATTCAAATATAAATTTCATTATATTAACTAATTTTTCTTAAGCTGATTTTTAGCAAGTGAATTTTTGATAAACAGACTTTGAAGAAATCAAAAACCAAGGTAAAAGAACAAATCAAAACCCAAACAGATGCTAATTAAGCAAAATGATTAACGTCGTTTTCAAGGCATCAAGGGTCCCTCTTGTGTGTGTGTATATATATATATATATTGTGGTCATCGTCTTGCCCCAAAGCCTTTTTAATTGGGTGTTTTGTTCCGTTGGCGTTGTTGAAAATTATGGGCTGCCCTGTCAGCCACTCTTCCTCAACATCTTCGAAAATTCCATTGGTTACAAATCTTGGAATCCATTGCCTGCTTCCCTTCCTTCTCCATTCTAACCTTAATTTCATTATAAAACCTTATACTTTCTGTCACATAAATTATAAAATACTTTTAAATAAAATT